CCCACGCCCCTCGAGACTACACCCCGCTCTTCCGAGTTCCCGCGGCCCTCACCATCGAAGTCTATGCGACCGTCGTTGTTCTTGTCGCCGTCTTTCATCAGCGATTCGATCTCCTCTTCCGTCACGTGCTCCCCAGAGGCCCTGAAAATCTCAGCCAGCTCCTCAGCATCGATGTAGCCGTCTGCGTTCCTTGGGGCCAAGGGACAGGGCAGGGTCAGGGCCCGGGAGAACCGCCCCGGCTACGCTCGACACCACCGCCCACACTCTCGCCCCGGGAACACGCATGCCCTCCCTCGCCTCCCAGGCCCCAACGCACCTGTCGAAGATGCGGAAGCACTCGGCCAGCTCCTCCTCGCTCTTCCCTTTGGCGTCCTCTTTCATCTGGCGCACCATCATGACCAAGAATTCCTCGAAGTCGATGGTGCCGCTGCCTGAGGGGGGCAGGTGGGGGACTGAGCCGGAGCCCCATGCCACCTCTCCCCACCACACCCTGCCTGGGAGGGCCACCCGCTCACCATCCTCATCCACCTCCTCGATGATGGCGTCCAGCTCCTCTTTGGTGGGTGTCTGGCCCAGCATCCTCATCACCGTACCCAACTCCTTGACGCTGATGTCCCCACCGCCATCAGCATCAAACATGTCAAAGGCGGCCTTGAACTCTGTGAGGGATGGAGGGGTGGAGGGCTGGGGTCAGGCAGGGGCCTGTCAGCCTCACATCTGCCCTCCCATCCTGTCCAGAAACAAACGTTTTCCAGCACCTGTCTGCCCAGCACCCAGCCTGCCCCACTCACTCACCAGCGATCATCTCCTCGCTGAGGTAGGACCGGGCCTCAGCCTGCTGGTCGGTCTGCAGGAGACACACAGAGTCAGAGAGCTGAAGGGACGCCCTAGAGCAGGATCTCCCCTTAACCCCATGCTTCTCAACCCCCACCTCTGTAAGTGCCCTCTGGTCCTCAGGAGGAACCACTCCAAACTCCTCCCACATCTGTGTGCCTCCACAGCACCAGACAGGGTCTCCTGTTGCCCAGGCTGAAGTGCAGTGACACAATCCTGGCTCACTGCAACCTCCAACTCCTGGGCTCAAGCAGTCCTTCCGCCTCAGCCTCCCAAGTACAGGACTACAGGCGTGAGCCGCCACACCCAGTTAACTTTTCTAATTTTTCTGTAGAGACAGGCTCTCACTATGTTGCCCAGGCTGGTCTTGAACTCCTTGCCTCAAATGATCCTCCAACCTTGGCTTTCCAAAGTGCTGACATGAGCCACTGCACCCAGTTCCAGTTTTCTAAAGTTCCTAATGGTGCCTGATATTTTAATAGTTGCTCAATAAATGTTTGTTCTCAAATAAATAATAATGCAACACAAAGTTATTGAATATCTGCTACGTGTCAGGCCATAGACCAGGTACTGGGACCACCAAGAAGAGACAGATACACCATCTCTCCCCTCAGAGAACTGGCAGAGATGGAGATTTTAAGCTTCCTTCTTAGGATTTTGACATTGCAATAAAGATCTCTCATGCTGGGCAGAATGTGATGGAGGCCCTGGCATGAAAATATGATTTCTGTGGGGGTTTCCAGGTCCCATCCAAACCAGGCCATCTGGGTTGGAGGCTTTGGACTGAGAATGGTGGTAAGGAGAGGCAAGGCTTCCGAGGAGTTCTTCAGCCGGCTGGCTGCAAGCCCTCCTTCTCCTCCTCCCTCTTCCCTCCTCTTTCCCCTTGCCAGGAGTACAGGCTATTTTTAGCCTGGCATGGGCAACAGCAGCTGGCCTCCAGGATCTAGTTACTCCTTGAAGCAAAGTGGGGAGGAGGATCTCAGAAAAAGCAACAGTCCCAACTCAGAACACCTCTCTGGAAGGCCGGGGTCCCTCTAACTCTGTTCTGTCATCTTCTGCCCCATTTTGGAGCCCTGCCCCTGAGTTGGCTCCAGGTCCTGTGGGCCCCTCTTGTCTTCTGGAGGAGCCTTTCTTCTCTTGGTGACAGTAGGAGGGTATGGCCCGACTTCCAGCTCTCCCCTGTCACTGGCTTGCTCTCAGGGTTCCCATTTCTACTATGAAGGAGACAAGCAAAGAACCCCTCACGGCTCTATAAATGACATTGCTGGAAATTTAACAACCTGGGCTAGGAGTCAGGCCAACTTTGAGGATCAGTCTCTGGAACATTCCAGCCCACCCCTTTCAAAAAAAGCCAAAGGCTTTTCTCCAAGGCACCTGGGTTCCAGGAACCTTCACATTCCAGCTTCAAACCTCCAAGTTATTGCCCTTCAGGGTTACCCTAGTCTGGCCTGAAAGAGGCCCAAGGTGCTTCAGCGAGTGAAACAGGAAAATCCCTTCTTGTCCTTACCATGGTTGCTGGTCACTGGTACTCCTCTGCTGCGGGTCCTTTGCACTCCACCACCCAAAGATGTCCTGGCCCGCTACAACCCCTGAGATTTGTAGGGGCACCCTCTTCTCCCACCTCCCCACTCCCCAGTACTGGATACCCTGTCCAATCAGATTCTGGGGTCAGCGAGCCCCACCCCTCCCAGAGTCCTAGCCCATTACCTAATTTAGCCAAGGGCCCTTGCAGAGAAATTTAAGCCTCTGAGCAGGTGGCAGGCCTTGACGTCCTAGATTCTTGTGAGGAGGAGCTGCCCTGCTCCACTGCCTTAGAGAGTCCCCCGCGCCATCCCCTACCCGCCCCCCCCAGCCCAGGAAGCACACTGGTTCCAAGATGATAAGGATAATCAGAATAGTGAAAAGTGAGGCAGCATGGTGGAATGGAAAAGCACAAACCTTGAAGTACAAAACCAAGATCTGAGGTCTGCCTCTGCAAGTTGTGTGACCTCGGGCGGGTGATGCTGCTGCTTTGAGGCTAGTTTCCTCATCCGTGAGATGGACCTCTCACAGAGAGACCACAGTAAATGGGAGGCCAGGTATAAGTCGCCTGACATGTGCCAGGTACCTAGAGTTGGTGCTTGGCAAGTGGAATGTCCTGTCTTTGAACCATGGTAAGGGACAGGAGATAGGAAGGGAAAGTGACAGCTAGGCTAACATGTACTGCGCCTCTATGACGTGCCACACACCGTGTTAAGCATTTAACCACATGATCTCATCTGGTTCTCATCCTCTGAGATAGCCACTATTGTTATCCCCATTCAATTAGAGGCCTTTGTGAATCATAAAGTTCTATGATGATGCTGGCAATTCTTATTATTAATCCTGACTGGGGAGAAGTTGGGACAGGCAGTCCTTGGGGGAACTTTCAGAAGGAAAGTGAATGAAGGATCGAGGGGACTGTGCATTTGGAGAAGAAATAATCATTGAAAGCAAAACTTATCTTCTCCAGGGAAAGGGTATTTGGGATTCACTTTTTTGCGGGATAGGGGTGGTCGGGCAGGAGAAGTGTCTTTCAGTGGCAAAGTGGCAACTGGCCCCTTCCTAGAGCTCAGGTGGTCATCTGGAGAGTAAAGGCATGGGCAGATCGATTGCAAAGGGAGCCCACCCCAAGAAACCACAAGGTGCCGGCTGGGTGTTGGGGCGTAGGCAAGGCTTACAGACAATGGCTAAGTCAACAAAAAGAACACTGAGATAACCAAGCATGGGTGCTGGGGCCAGGAAAGCGGGGCTGGACACCAAGGAAGGCAGATGGACAGTGGCAACTGGGTTACCCCTCCCCCTATAGATAGATATTCCCAAGGAAAGCTCAGCAGGGCCAGGCCAGGCTAAATAAGGTCTCTCTAGGCAGGCAAAGAGCCAAGAGACAATACCCAGGGGATTCTAGTTTGGACACAAACACTTGGTCCCTTTGGAACAGAAGATGTGAACTCTCAGCAATCACTTGTTCATTAATCTGTTCTTTATTCAGGGAAATACATGAGGTTCAAAGTCCTTAATGTGGCCAGGCAAGGGCCCATGGACCCCACTCATCTCAGTCCCTCTCCTCCTCACCTTGTCTGCTGCTCTGCTCTGGTCAGACTTAAATGCTGCCCCAGACACCGTCTTATAAACCTCTAGGCCTTTGCACGTGCTGTTGTTTTCTGCCAGAAACTCCCATCTTCCCTCTCTTCACCTGCCTATTTCCCCATCACCTTTCTCAACTCTAAAATCACTTCCTCGGGATCCTTCTTCCCCTACGCGAAAGCCAGGGTATCCAAGGTAGTCTCCAGCAGTTTCCTCAATCATAGCACTGTGCATGCCTTATGAGGGAGGACCCAAAAAGAACCAGAACTTATTTATAAAAAATAGTGCATTTATTCTTCCGTGTTCAAACTTCAGGAACCTTCAGAATACTCTGTTTGATGCAATACACCTACTGAGATACTTTTTCCACTGCTCAAAACTGGGAACTCATCAATTTTGATGCCTTTTAGTGCTTCTGCCATTTTTTGTTTCACCTCTTCCACCTTGGCAAAATGTTTTCCTTTGAGGACTTTTTTCATCCAGGAAATTTTAAAAAAAAGTCACTCAGGGAAATATCAGGTGCATAGGGAGGGTGGGACATGGGGGTGGTCATGCCATTTTTGGTCAAATACTGCTGAATATTCAGTGCGGTGTGGGCAGGTGCACTCGTAACTCAACCATCATGAAATGAGCAAACGCATTGAAAGAATCTTTTTAAAAATTTTGGCCATGCCGGGCTCGGTGGCTCAGCCTGTAATCCCGCGCCTTTGGGAGGCTGAGATGAGTGAATTGCCTGAGCCCGCGGGTTCGAGACCCGCCTGGGCAGCGAGACCTCATCTCTACAATACATCAAAAAATCAGCCGGGCGTGGTAGCTCATGCCTGTAATTCCGGCTATTCGGAAGGCTGAGGCGGAAGGATCGCCGGAGCCCAGCAGGTCGAGGCTGCAGCGGCCGGGAGCGGCCACTGCACTCCGATCTGGGTGACAGAGTGAGACTCCAACTCAAAAAAAAAAAGAAAACTTTTGGCCAGCCAGGGTCAGTGGCTCAGCCTGTAATCCCATGCCTTTGGGAGGCTGAGATGAGTGGATTGCCTGAGCCCCTGGGTTTGAGACCCGCCTGGGCAACTTGGTGAGACCTCATCTCTACAATAAGTCAAAAATCAGCCAGGCGTGGTAGCGCGAGCCTGTAGTTCCAGCTACTTGGAAGGCTGAGGCGAAAGGATCGCAGGAGCCCAGCAGGTCGAGGCTGCGGTGGCCGGGAGCAGCCACTGCACTCCAGTCAGGACGGAGTGAGACTCCAACTCAAAAAAAAAAAAAGAGAAAAATTTGGGCATGTACGGTGACTCAGCCTGTAATCCCACACTTTGGGAGGCCGAGGCAAGAGGATTACCTGAGGCTGGGGGTTCAAGACCAGCCTGGACAACTTGGTGAGACCTCGTCTCTACAATAAGTCACAAAAACTAGCTAGGCATGGTGGCGTGAGTCTGTAGTTCTAGTTACTTGGAAGACTGAGGTGGAAGGATCACCTGAGTCCAGCAGGTCAAGGCTGTGATGGCCACGAGCGTGCCGCTGCACTCCAACCTGGGTGACAGAGTGAGACTCCAACTCAAAAAAAAAAAAAAAAGAGTGGTAGAGAATGCAAGACATCAGGAGATCTTCTGGTTCTGACCCTGTTTGTATGACCCAGGATAAGCCCATTTCCCTCACTAAACCTCAGAGTACCTACCTGTAAAACAGAGGTGATAGGTCAGATTTCTGAGAGACCCTCCTGCTCTGACAGCCCATGGTTGTATGAAGACCACTTTGTCCTCAGACTCGTAAAGCATATACCAAAGGACAAATTAATATTCAGACAATGCTTGGTGAATGAATGAAGTGTGTCTGTTTTGCCCCAGTACCCTGCCTGTAGGCCAAATGAAAATTAGAGCTTTGAAATCACACTCTTAGGCTTAAATTCCAGCTCGCCCATTTTCTAGATGTGGCTCTTGGGAAAGTCAATTTGCCTCAGTTTCTTCATCTTGAAAATGGTCCATTATTGCCCAGTAACAGCCTCTTCTTTTTTTTTTTTTTTTTTTTTGAGTCAGAGTCTCACTCTGTCACCCAGGCTGGGGTGCAGTGGCATGCACACAGCCACAGCCACCACAGCCTTGACCTGCTGGGCTCAGGCAATCCTTCCTCTTCGACCTTCCAAGTAGCTGGAACCACAGGCATGCACCACCATGCCAGACTAATTTTTTTATTTATTGTAGAGATGAGGTCTCACCATGTTGCCCAGGCTGGTCTCAAACCCGTAGGCTCAGGCAATCCACTCGCCTCGACCTCCCAAAGTACTGGGATTACAGGCATGAGACACTGCGCCCGGCTCAGTAAGAGCCTCTTCACCAGAATGTTGTGAGAGTGAGATGTGATAGCACGTACCCAGAACAGGATGCAGGCACCAGTGGTACCTCAAAAAAATAAGTGCTCCAGTCCTTCTGCTCAAACAGAAAGCAGGGAGCAGAAATACTATCTGCTCGAAGGTATTCCCCGCCCCCACCCCTCTCTCCTGTGCCACTCAAAAAGGGAAGGAGCTACTTGATTTTATTTGTTTTATCAAATAACTATCAAAATCTGCCCTGCTGAGTACTGGGAGATATCTAGGCCTTCTGACAGGAAGCCACAAATTCTTGACCTACTCCTGCCATGAGGATAAAAGATAAAACACAGCGCTCCGGAGGAACTGCCAAGATTAACGCCCTGCTGCGTGGGAAAAGGACAGTTTGCAGAACTCAGGGGACCTGGGCTCCAAGTCCTCACTCAGAAACCTCTGGCAAGCTATGTGACTTGGCCAAGTAACCCTCTCTGGGTCTCAGTTTCCCCATTTGCTTACTTCCCACGTGTGAGGCTCAAGTGAGATTGTGAAAGTCTGTGAACACTGTAGAAACAATAATCGTTATGTAAGTGATCATTTCATCAGCCCCTGCTCTATGTCAGACACTGGACTAGGATTTTTGGTTTTTGTTTTTTGAGTTGGAGTCTCACTCTGTCGCCCAGACTGGAGTGCAGTGGCCGCTCCCGGCCACCTCAGCCTCACCCTGCTGGGCTCCCGCGATCCTTCCGCCTCAGCCTTCCGAGTAGACGGAATTACACGCATGTGCTACCACGCCCGGCTGATTTTTTTGACTTATTGTAGAGATGAGGTCTCGCTGCCCAGGCGGGTCTCGAACCCGCGGGCTCAGGCAATCCACTCACCTCAGCCTCCCAAAGGCGCGGGATTACAGGCTGAGCCACTGAGCCCGGCTTTTTTTTTTTTTTTTGAGTCAGAGTCTCACTCTGTGGCACAGGCTGAAGTGCAGGGGCAAGCTCACGGCCACCACAGTCTGGACCTGCTGGGCTCAGGCGATCCTTCCACCTCAGGCCTTCCAAGTAGCTGGAACCACAGGCGGGTGCTACCACCCACGGCTTATTTTTTGATTTATTGTAGAGTCGAGGTCTCACCAACTTGCCCAGGCTGGTCTCGAACTCCCGGGCTCAGGCAATCCTCTCGCCTCGGACTCCCAAAGTGCTGGGATCACAGGCTGAGCCACCTCGCCCGTCTGAACTAGGATTCTTACAAAAGCTGCAAAATTCGTTTCAGGAGTATTGTTTCTGTTTTACAGATGACTAAGCCTTGGCTCCGCGAGGTCAGATTCCAATCCAGATCACGCATCTTCTCTTTGCCTCAGTTTTCTCACTGGAGAAATGGACTCCCTGATGTCGCATAATGACTTTGTAAAGTTAAAGAGCGCTGGGTGGAAATCAGGGGGATAGACTGGGGCTGACCTGGGTCTCGGAAGGGACAGGAGGATTGCAGAAGGGTACGAGCCTGGCGGCATGGTGGATAATTCCGCCGGAGGCCGAGGGCTTCCTCCAGCTGACCCCGGATTCCCAAGGCTCCCTGGAGCGCGGCGCCCGGGTTTCTCTGGCGGCTCCGGCGAGCGGGCGGAGCAGGAGGCGGGGCGGCGGCAGGAAGCGGCCCGAGCGGCGCTCGGAGCGGCCTGGGCCCGGCGGAGCCCAGCAGAGCCCGGCCGGCCTCGGCGAGCCGCGGGGGCGGCGCCGGGACCCTCGGGGAGCGGCGCGCCCCTGAATGCACCGCAGGACTCAGGAGGGAGGGGCGCGTGAGGGGGCGAAAGAG